GGAGTACATACAGTACACAGAGCAACATGGGAGCTGCAGGAAGCTATGATCCTGTGACACCTTCTCTACTCTCGCTTTTTCTTCTTGCCAAGTATCTCTACCCCTGCTGGGTCCGAATCCCAAGTCTGAATAAATATATGCTGTGTTCTCGAGGCTAACTTGAAAGCACTGCTGGTCTTTGAACCAGGATGTGCTTCTATAACCTGAATGGACAGTCTCAACAAAAAAAAAAGCATTTCATGGATATGGTCACAAATGACGAGCAGAGTAGGTTTTCTGCACTAACCTGCGGCTTTGTGCTACAGCAATTTTGGCAGGCCGTATTTTCTGCTTCCAAGGTTTCAGGCGCTGACACAAGGCTCTTTCAGAAGTGTGCTGTCCCCGTTGAACCCTATGACAGGTTGTCGTAGTGCAGGAGAAGAGAAGGTATCCTGGTGATGTGCACTTAGCTTGGGGAAGAAGCCACTGGGACAATCTGTTGCAGCCAGTGACACTACTGTAGGGTAAGTGTCTGTAAGTAGGTGATGAAGAGTTGGTCTTTTTACTTAATGGAAGTTGTTTTTTTTAAATAGGAGCATCAGCATGTACTAATAATAATGAGTCATTTTAAAAGTACAGGCTCGTAACGGCAAAAGTGATTGTTTGGTTCAAAATTCAAAGAGTTGAATCATTCGTTCAAAGGTGAGCATGGACAATGTCTCAATCTTCCACCTTTTTAGAATAGATTTGGTAAAATTAAGCAAGTATCTATAGCTAGTGGTATATTAGTGAATATTACCTCACCAGGTAACATACACCATTCTTTCCTCGTAGGAAATATTTTTGCCATCATTCAGAAGCTGCGATGGCATTAGCTAAACTGAAGACACTGAAGAAATCCTTAACTGTCATGCTTATTGACTTAATGACAAAGGTTAAACATGTGTGTCTGTGGCCTCTGCAAGTTATTCTGAATATCATTTGACTCCAAAGAGCAGGCCACAGATATAATCAATAGAGGAATGTGTATTAACGTTGAGTTCGCATCCTTCTTCTCAAGTCTGGGAAAATGTAGCCTGTTGCACATGGTGATGACTGCTTAAACATGGCCTGTGGCAATGGTGGTGCATACCATCAGAAATTTTAGCTGACCCTGCATATAAGATTTCTTCTGCAGAGAGAGATCTTACCCAAGGCTTCTGGGCCAGTTTTAATTGTTGAATCACTAAAGGCCATGTTTAAGTATGCTCATTTCTAGGGGTGATTGGAGAAACTGGCCCAGACTATTACAGAGCAAAGCCAACTATCATTTCAATCCAGTGCATGGAAAAGATCATTTTTAATAAATTTATGTGGTATAGTATACGGTGGACAAAATGCACGCAGACAATAAAGTTAGTATATAATCCTCTCAGTTAAAGCACAGTTACTATACACCAGTGAGAGATTTAAAAAAAAATGACATTCACATTGAAGGACAGCTGCATTTACGATATGCACTGCAGATGTTTTTGTGTCCTTTATGTAATGAAAGAGTAATTATGTAAATTGTTTTTCCTGCCATTCGCTCTCTCAGTTGTTTGGCTTATGTTTTTTCTAATTCAAAAAGAGAGAGCAGCAATACTATACGTTTCATAGTGGACATGTCCAAACACATATACTGCTTAAATGTAATCTCCAGGATTTGGTGTCTGGATTTAAGGTCCTGCAAAACAGCATTAAGCATATGCAGATGCATGCTCAAAAACACCTAAAGCGTTGGTGAGGCTGAACTCAAATACCTATGAATACAAAAACAAGCTTAAACATTTTTTTTTCCTGAAATGCATTGTTAAGCACCTACACTATTTGTAATAGAAGAAACTGTAATGAGAAATGAAAATCCTGATGAGAAAGTCAGTTCTATAAAGCCAGTTAATCAATCACAGAGAGCCGAAAGGATGCAGTTACCTGAAGCATTGCACAAAATGACTTGATTACAGTTGCTGTTGATATAAAGAGTTGTGAGTTGTTACACTGACGTGAACTGTTTGTAAAATTCGTGACCAAAAGAGATCCGACTGTCACACGCATTTAACACTCACAGACATTCACCTTGTATCTACATATAAAAAGCAGCTGGGATCAATATGGAGACGCAGAGGGTTGTTGGAATGGAAAATCAATGGCCACAAACATTCATTACTGGAAAAATCGGCACAGACAGTTTGTGCTTTTACTGCCTAGGGTCAGGTCAGTGTGTTGCAGTGTCAAAGAGTTCACCTCTGACGCACAAGAATGACTTATCAGTGCGCCACTTTTATCTTCTTCAATAGGCCTTTTTTTTATGTGGGCTTCAGCATTGCTGAAAGGAGCCAAGTTAAAGGCAGTAGGAGATGCAAACACTACAGATCTTTTTTACTCCCAGGTATGAAATATTAAATGGAGTTTTAACGATAGCTGTGTGCACCTCAGCAGGAATCTGACAGCTCTTAAAATACAGGGCAGGGGTTGGAACACAGAGAAATGGAGGGCTAGAGAAATATACAGAATTAAAGCTGAGGGGGTGCATTTTTGTCTGGAGAAATTGAAGTCAGCTCCCCGCTGAAGATTTTGCTTTAATATTGTATAAAAATGCAGCGCGATCATGTGTTTATTATCTGTTCGAGGGGTATGAATGATGCTTCCTACGAAATCCACGTTATTTTGCTGTATGGTGGCTTCGTAATAGCTATTTCATTTAACTGCGTAGATATAATTGGTGCAAGAGGGGAAAAATAGATGTCTAATCCCCATCCTTACTCTCCCTGTCTATCTTCCTTTTCTCTGTCTTCCACATTTTTTTCCTCTTGTCTCTGGATAGCAATCAATAGTTATTATCTGCTGAGTGTCGCAATAGCACTGCACAGAGCCCCCATTCTGAGTTGATGGTGCTTTTTCATTATAGCTGACACTAGTCTAAACAAAGCAGGCCTATTTCCCTGCCACCAGACAAACACAGTCTCCATAATGGCACCAGATAAAAGAGAAGCAGGAGGGAAAATTGAGTTTCACATAATGGGGAATCAGTAACTCGGGACTACTTCTTTTCTCGCTCCATTTTTCCCTTTTCCATGTCTTTCTGTGAAGTATTTGGCTAATACACAAACTGATTGCATGTTAATTTCTTACATCTTGCCACTAGTCTATCCATTCCTCAACAACAATAGCATTTCTTTTTTTTAATCTAATCGTCCACACATCCATTCATACAGTTGTCTGTCTGCCTGTCTGTCTGTCCATCGGTTTGTCCTGCCATTCATCCGACTGTCAGTCGATAGGTGCGTAGGGGGTAAGGTTGTTTTGTTTTGACGGGGTTGTTGTTTCATAAAATAAATAAATGATATCTGCGCAGCAGAGTGGAAAGCATAACGAATGGCAGTTGGAGAAAAGGCAATTTGGGGAGAAGTGCACTGGCTGGCAAAGGAACAGAATGGGTTTTTACTGTGAAGTATAACCAATGCATTACAAAACACATCACCAGAGGTTTATTGAAAAAGCCAAGTACCCCTCACGCCCCTCCTATGAAAATGGCAAACATTATCATGGCCTACATGGTTAGGCACTGAAAGTCACTTTCAGAAAGTCAAGGGAGAAGTTTTTATTGCAGCGGCACAATGAAATGGAGCCCCAGGTGAATGACGGAGCAAGAGGTGGTTAATCTACAACGCAGCTACACGTGTAGATGCAGATAAGTTTCATGACACATGGCGAGGAGTCACTGTTGGAGAGATCCATTGTGATGTTTTATTTACAGACTACAAAATTTTGCTATGCACATGGGACCTCCTACATAAATCAGAAAAATTACAGCAAGGCAAAGCACCACTTAAAATTTGTAGTGGGGTAGCTCACCAGAATTTATCTACTATACTAAAATCATAACCAGCTTACAAAAATGTCACCCTTCTTGGCGTCCAGAATATCACTGAAGACATTTCAGGTTTTATTATTTCTATTTTCTGATTAGTGAAAAATCCCCTGTCACCTACAAGCCACTGAGTGGACTGGGTGACATTTGACAGGCCGCTGAGCCAGCAAAGGCACTAAATGTAGCTTAGGAAAAGTGTTTTATAACCAGCGTTATTTACTTATCATTTATTAGCAGGCTCAGATAATCGTGCATCTAAATGAACTGCAATCCAATGGTAGAAGTAAGTTCTTAGTGTGCAACTGCCAAACCCTAATTTAGATATAAACACAAGAATGACATTTAAAACAAAACCCAAAACCAAAAGAAAAAACATAAACAGCATCAGTTTATATAGGCTACTAATTATAGCCTTACTAAAGAGCACTACCCCCCTCCGTATCTAAATCTTCCACAAGTCTTATCTAGAGTGCTAGTCTAGTTGTACTCTTCTACAATCTACTGTTATCTATTGTTATCTAGTTCTTATCTAGAGTACCTTTACTTGTAACCTCATTTCAAATCAGCTATGACTACTTTAAAAACCACAAAAACACCTGTAATCGACTTTGACTGTTTATTTTGGTTTTTATATGCTCCTGTTCACACTGACTGTAAATACCTTGGCTAAATATAGCTGAAAGCTGTGTCTTTGAAGATGCAAATTAAAAAGGCAATCAAAGCCAATCATCAGCTTTTAGCAGTGACAGAGTGAAAACCTGTATATGATTGGTCTGTTGTATGATGTTTAAATTATCTCCAAGGATGTTTTTAAGCTGTCAGAGAATAATTTTAGCTCATGAAAAGAGTTTTCGTATGAGTAGAAGGTGACGTTCACTTTCATAAACATCATTGTTTTTGTGTGGCATCACGTTTGCTCTTCTCCAGTTTACATTTTTAGTTTTATTTTGGCTGTTGATTCACACACTCAAAAAAATCAACTAGGGCATGTGTTTGATTAACAAAGTAGTAATATGTTTACATCACATGAAGAAATCATTTTTATGCTCATTAAATGATTCATTCTTTTTTGATGAATATAAATCAAAGAAAACTTTGATGAGTTAAATTCGTTCATGGCAATCCAATGAGAATGAGGTCCATCAAACCAAAGGCTCTGATAGCGTCATGTATTGCGCATGCTCCACGCCCACCGGATGCGGAAAGGTCCGTTGAGAAGTTAACGAGCGCACGTGGAGTTACTTCTTTGGCATACCTGATAGTGAGGTAAGTAATATTTCTTGATATATTTATTTAGGTTAGTGGAGTGAGAGATAAATACTATTAGTTAAAAAATTTTACCTGTGTAGTGTGGAGATTTATATATAGCAGGGAGGTTGTAGACCCAAACATTTTTCAAATGTAAGTCGGTGAATTTAATGTTTTTTTTTTTAAACTTAACCGGAGTCGCTAATTGTTGCAACAGAGCAAAAACTGATGAGGTTATGTTGGAGGTTCCATTTTTTTAGGGCAGAAATACCGGGGTTACTCGCATATCTCACGGAGGAATAAACCATACACACGTTGTTTAGAGTTTTACATCAGAGGGACACACCTTCCTCTGCGCCATCATTTATTGCACACACACTTCCGTATTTATACCTTTCAGGTTAAGAGCACATACATATATGATAGGGCAACACCCCCACTTGCTCTTAACACTATACATTACACATTTACATGATATACATATTTACATGATATTCACATATCAACGTTTTATGTTCCAAACAAAATATGCGTAAATTTATCTATTTTCACTTTACTTACAGATTTAGTCATGATGTCTGCTACCATGTCTTCCGTTGCACAATACTTAACTTGTACTTCCTTCTCAGTTATAGCAGACCTAATAAAGTGATACTTGATATCGATGTGTTTACATCTTTGACGGTTTATAGGATTTTTGGACAATGCAATTGCACCTTGATTGTCTGCAAGAATGGTAACTGGTGAATATTGCCTTTTAATGTCCATGCCATTAAGTAGCTGTGAGAGGTATAAGCTTTCTTGTACTGTGGCGGCCATCGCCATGTACTCTGCCTCGCACGTTGACAAAGCTACTGTAGCTTGCTTCCTGGTTTTCCAGCAGATCACTGGCCCATTTTTGGATAGTACAAAACAATAACCCGTTGTACTTCTCCTGTCACTCAAGTCTGTGGCCCAATCTGCATCGCTGTATGCTATAAGATTTAGGTTTCCTTCTATCCTTTTATAGCACAGCTCTTTGTTTAGTGTCCCCTTAAGGTAACGTAATACATGTTTTGCTGCTGTCCAATGATGCTCTTTTGGCTCAGACAGGGATTGTGACAGTTTGCTCACTATCCAACTCAAATCTGGTCTTGTACATGTCATTAAGTAAATCAAACTGCCCACTAATTCTCTATATTTTCCTGAATCAACTGATTCACCATGTGCACCAAAATCATTTTTGAGTTCACAAGGAGTAGAACGTGGCTTACAGTCAGACATTTTGAACTTTTCCAGGATTTTTGTGATGTACCGTGTCTGGTTTAGTCTTATCTCATGGTTCTCTTGTATACAGTCAATACCCAAGAAATGTTTGAGCTCACCAAGATCCTTCATTTTAAATTTCTCATCCAACATTTGTTTCACGTTTCTGATAGCGTCTTCACTGTTGGCAGCTATGATTACATCATCAACCCAGATGATAAGAATCACTGTCTCACTCGCTGTCTGTCTGGAATATACACAATGGTCTACAGGATTTTGTTTGTAACCTTTTTCACATAAATGGTCATGTAACATCTTATTCCAGTTCCTGCCAGATTGTTTCAAACCATATAGTGATTTGTTTAGTTTACAGACCAGTTTTTCACCTGTGTCTGACTTTACTTCAAAACCTTCTGGTTGCTGCATATACACCTCACAATCGATTGGGGCGTGCAAATAAGCAGTCTTCACGTCCATTTGATGGAGTTTAAAGTTGTGCTGTACTGCTAATTGCATCAGCGTACGCACTGACGTCATATCTGCAGTCGGCGAAAAGGTTTCTTTGTAATCAATGCCTTGAACTTGGCTATAGCCTTTAGCAACATATCTTGCTTTAAATGTTTTAGTCTGATTTGGGTTCTCTTTTATCACATACACCCATCTCCCCCCCACTGCATTTTTACCTTCTGGCAGCGTGGTTAAAGTAAACGTATTATTGTCTTTCAAGGATCTTATTTCATCTTCCATAGCATCTGACCAACACTTAGAGTTCGATGACTGCATAGCTTCTTCAAAAGTCTTTGGTATGTCATACATCACCCTGTAACAGTAATCTACAGTCAGTGATGTTTGGTCGTCTTCTGCAGTTTGGACATAGTCTTTCAGGTAATCTGGCCTTCTCCTGTTTCGTTTGGGATATCGTTCAGACTCTGTTCTATCACTCTGTTTGTCTGAGTTTTGTGCATCATTTATGCCATTGTCCTGAATGTCACTTTCAGGTTCCAGGATCATACTTTCATCTGATCTCTGGTCATTCCCTGTTTTGTCCTTTCTAGCGGGGTACTTCAAGATGTCCCCTGGAGTCAAATCATCATCTCCATTGTCATCAACCTGAGTGGTCTGGGTTTGGTGCTCAACTACACTTTTAGTGAGGAACTTGACCAACCTATGTCTAAGAACTCGTCCTGTTTTAGGGTAGTAGATTAGATACGACGGACTGTTTTTATCGTAACCCACAAAAACTCCTTCGTCACATCTTGCGTCTAACTTTTTTTTGTTGTGCCCGTAACCATAGCAAACTGATCCAAAAATCCCCATCCTCGACATGTCTGGCTTCTTTCCTGTCAGCATGTAATAAGGGGTTTGCTTTGTGCGTTTGTTGTAACACCTATTACGAATTACTGCGGCAGTCATAACAGCATAAGTCCATAATCTTTTTGGCAGGTTACTTTCGATCAACATACACCGTGCCATTTCAAAAAGTGTTCGCCATTGTCTCTCGGCAGTCCCATTCTGATGAGGTGAATACGGCGCTGATGTCTCATGCCTTATCGTGTTTTTATTTAACAATGTCTGAAACTCTTTAGATGTAAATTCAGTTCCATTGTCTGATCTGATTCTCTTTACTTGCCCATAGGGGGCGACGTCTGCCAAAAACTTTTCAGTTGCTTTTACGGTGTCACTTTTAGCCTTTAGAAAGTACACAAACATTGTGCCTGAGTAATCATCAGTAAATGCTAACGTGTACCTGAACCCGTCTTTAGCTTCTGGTTCTATCGGTCCAGCTAAGTCAGTGTGCACTAGCTCTAATGCTTCTTCTGCTCTTTCATCAGGCTCTCTATTCCTGGTTTGGATAAATTTGCCTTTTGTACACACTTCACAGTCTTGGTAATGTTTAGCTTTACCTTTTATTTTCATACCCTCGGTAATGTCCTCTAGTTTAACCAAGTCTTCATAGTTGCAATGGCCGAGGATTTTGTGCCAAGTTTCTACATCATGACAGCCATTGCATTCGTCGTTGTCAACATAATGATCAGATGTAACACTGTTCAAATAGTATAGGCGTTCATATTCACTTATCTTAAACCTTGTCCCGTTCTTATGGATAAGCTGGTTGCAGCCCTTCTTGAAGGTTACTGAGGCTCCTTTGGCCGTTGCCGCCTGAACCGAGAAGATATCTTGCGGGTAAGAGGGAATGTAAAGTGCTCCCTCCAGTGTCGCCTTCACCTTTTGTCCCTCGCTGTCTTGTAGATAGACCTCCACATCTCCCCTCTTCAGTGCGACCCCACTCGTCCTCGTTCCGTCAGCTAATTCCATGAAGTGTCTTCCAGGTGTGAATGTCTCATCAAAACTCTTAAATCTTTGAATGTCCGTAATAATGTGAGAAGTGGCCCCTGTATCAACCATTAGGCCTCTCTGTTTCAGCCCTTGATTTCCACAGTCTTTGGCTTTGAACGCGAAACTATGATCTTCTGCATCAGTTACGTGTTTAGCAGTAATCTTCTTTCGTCGGCGACAGTCGCTGTCCTTATGCGTTGAGCTTTTACAGTAACCGCACCACTGCTTCACTTTTTGTTCTTTCCTTTCGGTCTTTGTGTAACACTCACGTGCTATATGACCCTCTTTTCCACAATTGTAACATATGATTTCTGCATTGTCTCTCTCTTTCTTCCAGTTATTTGCCTTCATCACATTGTCTTCAGAACATGTGGCCTTTTCGGTGCTCTCGTAGCTTCTTAATTTAGCTTTGAATTCACTAAATGTCATTGCTTTGTCACTGTGGGTTACATGTATGGCAAACGGCTTGAAAGATTCAGGCAACCCTTTTAGCACCATTGCAATAAGCAGTCCATCACTTAATGTCTCTTCTGCATTCCTCAGAGCTGTAATGGCAGTCTCAGCCCTTATCATATAGTCTGTGACGCTCTCACTGGGAGTTTTCTGTAGCGACGTTAGCTCCGTGTACAGGCTAATCACACGTGGTGTACCCTTACCGGCGTAGTGCTCTCTCAGAATCTCCAACGCTTTTCGTCCGTCATCCTTGGCATCTCTCATCACGAGTGAAAGACTTCTATCATCCAATACTTGGATTAGCTCTGCATAAGCTACTTCATTCTTTTCATCCAAGTCCTTGTCTTCTTCCTCCGACTCGCCGGGCTCGTTCAGAATGGCAGCCTTTAGCCCAAGTAGCCGCAGGTATCCCAGGAACTTTGTTTCCCACAGTTCATAGTTTCTCTCGTCTCCGTCGAAGCATAGACGGTTCCACCGGCTTCCCACATCCCTTCTGGGCCCATAACCTGTTGGAGGTTCCATTTTTTTAGGGCAGAAATACCGGGGTTACTCGCATATCTCACGGAGGAATAAACCATACACACGTTGTTTAGAGTTTTACATCAGAGGGACACACCTTCCTCTGCGCCATCATTTATTGCACACACACTTCCGTATTTATACCTTTCAGGTTAAGAGCACATACATATATGATAGGGCAACAGGTTATTTTGGTAAGTTCGTTTTTTTGTTTTGTTTCTGTCGACTTTGAATGAGGTGTGTTTCATGGTTATCTGCGTTGGTAGGACTGTTTTTCTTCTCTGGAGTTAGCTAACTTTGAAGAGCGGGAAAGCCGCGTAGAGCCGTAACGTCTTCGCATATAGCTCCATGAATGAAGGGTTACTTTCTGCTTAACCGGAGTTGGTGATTGTTGGTAGTAGTGGTAAGACTGACCGACATGGTTTTGGTGATTTTATGAGTGTTTTATGGTGCTCTATCTAAAATTCCTGTTTTTGTCAGTGGAGTTTAGTCGCGGGCAACCGCATTAACTGGATTGATGAAAGGTTTAATTCAACTAAACCAGCGTTTAGGGGAGTTAATAACAAGGAGTAAGATAAAATCTGTCACAATAATTGCATGTGCATTTTCTTTTTTTGTAATATATTCACTTAATTTTTGAATTCAGAATGATTTAGGTGGATAATTGTTTGGGTTATAGTTTCTCTGGTGCTCTGCATTAGGCTGACTAACGGTGCGTTCACACCGAACGCGATAGATGCCCCTAGCTGATCTCGTGCACATTTGCACCTCGAAGCGCGTCCAGCATGAACTGGTCGAGGTTTATATGCAATTTTCACGCGTATGAAGAAGAGATCTGGGAGGAAGTAGTGCCAGACGGTATGTTATTAAAATGGCAGCTGTCAATCTAGCGTTTGAAGAAAGAGTCTCCCTTCTCTATTTGCTGTGGAGAGCAGAGCAGTGCCTAAAGGACGTCCTCACTGTACCTGGGTCCATCAGGTCTTCCACAAGCGTGAGCAGTTTGGTGAGTTTCACCACTTGCTCCAGAAGCTCCGTCTGGATGACGGCCGCTTTCAGCTGTACCACCTTCTGTCCCTTGCCGAGTTTGAGAAGCTGCTGTCCCGCAGATTTTACCAACTCGAGCGGTAGACGTGATAAGCGCGAATGCACAAAATGCACCACACAAACTGCAGTGCGTATTTTACTTCGCGCTTCAAAGGCGTCAGTCGTGTGAAGTAGGCAGAAAAGCGTTTTCTCAATGCAAATCTGCTTCCGAAGTTTAGCTGGACCCCCAGTCGCGCTTCATCGTGCTCCTCCATTGACTTTACATGTAAACCTGAAGCTCTGGTCGCGTCTATCGCGTTCGGTGTGTACGCACCGTAACAGTCTTCACATTTCACAGTATGTAGATATTAACACAAATTTGTCAGAGTAATAACTTTGTTTTAATTAATTTCTCTCCCCAGAAATACATCACAAAATAAAGCCACATTCCCATGCTCTGAGATTCTTATGCACCTCCTCAACAATACATGGTAAGTTCATGTTTGCCTTATTATTATTATTATGTTATTTATTTATTTTTTTTGGATGATGCAGAAGTTTAATCTCCTTGACGTTTTCTAATGCATATTTCATTTTTTTATCAGTGACGTGTATGTGGCAGTGCAAGCATTGTGTTACCAGAGAGAGCAGCAGGTACAAATTACTTCAACATTATAAACTACATCATCATTACGGAATAGGTCAACATTATCTGTGCATATATGTTAATTGTCCGTGCACATTTAAGACTTGGAGTGGACTGAACACTCATGTCTATAAAGCTCATTCATCTCAGTTTACACAGACAGCTTCAAGTTCAGTAACTTTTAAATGTGAGTTATGTGACTGCAGTGACGTCTTCTCTGAGAGAGATTTTTTTGTCCATATTGGAACACATCTACGAAGTAACGAGACAGTTAGTTGTGTGTTTCTTGGTTGCCCTTTCAAGACAAATATTTACAATACATTTTATACACACAAAAAGAGGAAGCATCATCCACACACACTTAAAGATTTTAAAGCCAGTGTAGTTACACGTGTGGACCCAGTTCAAGTGATAGAGTCCTCTGATAATGTAAGGGCTAGCTGTTCTGAAAATGTATCCTATGGTGAATTTGAAAGTGAGTCAGTGACAGAATGTGATAATAGTGCTGTTGAAAATCAGCCCGAACTAATTGAACGGAAATTAGCAGTAATATTGTTGAAATTGGAACACATATTTCATGTTCCAGCAAAAGGATTAGATGAGTTCTTAGAGGAGTTAGTTTTTCTGTTGAGTTCAGCTAGTGTACCTCTGACAAAACGTACAATTACAGAAATTTTTAAGAGCCATAACCTCCATATTAGTCAGGCTGTTATTGAAGAGCTTGCAAATTCTGTATGTGTTTCTAACCCTGTGGCTAAAATATTGGGAAAGTGTGGCCCTCTTGCCACTCCTTATAAAAGAAAACTATACTACATACAAAATTTTAGGGTTGTAGAGCCTGTTGAGTATTTTTTATCGATAGACCAAAGGAAGTCATTTCAGTACATCCCTTTATTACAGTTATTGCAGGAAATATTGAGTCACAATAAATTGCTGGATAGAGTGATTGAAGAACAAATAGCTCAAGAAAATAGAGAGAATCTGAATGGTGATCAGAGGGTTTACAGATCTTTTCGAGATGGGGAGCATTATAAAAGAAATAGCTTTCTAGATGGTGAGAAGTTGAGAATTTCTATTAACCTTTATATTGATGATTTTGAGGTTTGTAATCCTCTTGGGACCTCACGGAAAAAGCACAAGCTTTGTGGTGTATATTGGGTCTTGGGCAATTTACCACCTGGTTCTCATTCAGCCCTTTCATCCATTTATTTGGCAATCCTTTGCAAGAGTGAAGATTTGAGGACATTTGGGTTTGAAAAAGTCTTTGATCCACTTTTGAGAGATCTGGTAACTTTGGAGCAACATGGTGTGTTCATCAGTCAGTTGAACGAGTGTATTAAAGGAACTGTGAGCTGCGTCATAGCTGACAACCTAGGAGCCCATGGGCTGGCAGGTTTTGTGGAAAGTTTTTCTGCTGAATACATATGCAGATTCTGTACAGCTAAAAAATCTGAAATAAAGTCAGTGACTGCTGGTGATTTTGAGCATAGAACACCGGAACTTCATGAATTCCATTTGAAGCGTGCACAAGAAACAGCAAGTGCTTGTTGTGGAGTTAAGCGAGATTGTATTTTGAGTAAGAATCTGAGCCATTTTCATGTCACTGCAGGCTACCCTCCAGATGTAGCACATGATCTGCTAGAGGGCATAATACCAGTGGAGCTTGCGCATTGTTTTTCTTTTTTAATCTCTAAAAAGTATTTCACCTTAGAAAAACTTAACAACTTGATCCAAAATTTTGAGTATAAATGGGCAGATAAAACCAACCGGCCTCATGCAATTCCCCAGACTTTCTCATTAAAAAAAAAATATTGGTGGAAATGCACATGAAAATTGGTCTCTGCTTCGTTTGTTGCCTCTAATTATTGGTCCACTTGTTCCAGAGGATGAACCTGCATGGCATATTGTTTTGGATCTGAAGGACATTGTGGAGCTTGTTGTAGCCCCTGTCCAGTCTGATGAGTCGATTTCCTACCTTGAGTGTAAAATCAGTGAACATCGCCAGAGATACCAAGAACTTTTTCCAAACAACAGTCTTCTCCCTAAACATCATTATTTGGAGCACTACCCTGCTCTGATTCGGCATTTTGGGCCTCTTGTCCACAAATGGACAATGAGATTTGAGGCGAAACATAGTTTTTTTTTAAACAAATTGCTCGCCATACAAACTGTTTTAAGAACATACCTGTTACACTTGCCAAAAAACATCAGCTCGTGATTGCCTCTGACTTGCACTCTTCTGACCATAAGACACCTTTAATGGTAAATGTTGGCTCATCAGTACCAATTGATGTTCTGAAAAGTGATATCGCAGTAGCTATAAAGCAAAGATTACCAGATGAAACTGATGTCCATATTACAAAAAGCGTGTCATACAATGGCATGAACTACAGCACAGGAATGATAGTTGTTCATGGGCAAATATTTGGTTTGCCAGAGTTTGCAGAAATTCTGCAGATTTTTATTTTGCATGGCAGAATATACTTTTTTGTAAAAAAGTTCTCTGCTTGGTATCGAGAGCACTTCAGAGCTTTTGAGCTTGACATGTCACATGCGAGAGAGGTGTCTCTGATTGAGCATGGGGAACTACTCGATGACTACCCGTTAGCTGCCTATTCAGTGGGAGGCCTGCGTCTGGTTACGCTGAAGAGACACACTAACTTGCAGGGTAAACAGGAGTGATGTTTGTAAGTATTTTCCCCCTATATCACCTGGCACAGTAAATAATACATCATACTTTGCAGACCAATTGCTACTTAATTTATTGAGAGTAGATTTCTTTTAAGCATCTTATGCAAGAATTGTCATTAATTAGAAGAATGCAAGACAAATCTGGAAAATGCACTATTCACTTCTCCAGTAAAAAAATTCCTCGAGGCCAAGGTGACATCATCAAATTATCGTTGACATTAGAATTTGTTACACACACTCGCACAATAGTCAATGAGTACATCTTTATTTATTTTTTAAATATTTGATATTTGTCCAGGTCAGCATGATGCCCCAGCCCATAAGACTGAGGATCATTCTCGGAGAAGATGATGCCAGGAAACTAATTTTACCAGCTGGGATATCAGACTCCATTCAGGAATTGTGTCAGGAAATAAAGACAAATTTTGGAGTGCAACAGGATTTTCGTCTTCAATATCAAGATCCTGATTTCGGAAATGATTTTGTAAATCTGACTGCGATCTCTGAAATTAATGATAAAGCAACTTTAAAGGTTGTATACTTGGATAGTGTGCAGTTGCAAAGTTTTACAGAAGATGGAGTGACATGTCAACCAGTGCGAAGTCCAACACATTCCTTTTCAAGCTCTTCAGACACAGACAATACAAGGCCCGTTTCATCGTCAGGTTCATCACCGTCTACAAGACTGTCAGTGTGGCCAAGTGTCTTCACAGTCCCTCATTTCAGCTATGAGGCTGAACTGCAACTTGAAAAGGCCAATGCTGAGTTCATTGCTGGTGGAACTCATTTGACCCCCTCACCAAAACTGAAATCCCACCTTTTAGAAAGGCTGGCTGAAGAAATAATAAAATTTAAAGTCTATCCAACTGACAATGACCTGAATGAAGTTGCAGAAGCCCTTGTCAAACAGCATCCTTGTCTGAGGGAGCAGGGATCCTTTAATGGCTGTTATGGTTGGAAAATTAGCCTCAAGTATAAAATGGCCAATGTCCGGACCAAACTGAGAGGCCTGGGCTGTGCTGAGGTGTTGGTAAATTCACTAAAGAACAAGGCCCAAGACAAAAGTAAGGCAGCATTGAATGTGAAAAAGCCTAGAAGAGCAGAAGTCAATTATTGTCCGCAGTATCCAAAAGGAGAAACCACTGACAGCCTGGAAAAAGAGAGAATTGCACTGCTTTCAGAGGTTCAGAAGAGAAACAATGACAATATAGTGACAATGAAAATGCAGAAGACTTTTTCGTACAGAAGGCAAGAAGTTATTCAAGGACAGCCCTTTATTGCAGATTTTAAAAGCAGATGGCCAGCTCTGTTCACCGAGAAAGAGGTGCATGTCCTATATGTCTAACTTTTAGAGTGTGTTTATGGTTGACCAGTTATTTCTTGCTTCACTAATATTCACATAACATAGTGATAAAACAGCTAATAATTCCTGGTATGTCCTTCCTCTGGTGCATATTATAAGTGCATTGTTCATGTTTTTCAGATTGACAAGGAATTCCTGCGCATATCGACAGTACCGCTGCTATCTAGATTCTTTTATGAGCTAGACTTGTACACTCCACGCATGATGGAGCTCTTTCGAGGCAAAGGTGGGGTGGCTGGCAGAAAAATGAGACACATCATGGTGGCCATCTCCAAGGTGGGTTAGATCTGTGCTTAAGAACTTTTTATGCCCATAATCTGGCAATTTTATGAGCAAAGATATCTATACATATGGTAGGCAAAAGTCCTAAGAGGTTTTCATATTTTATACAAATTATATAAGCATCAGTCTTATATTAATAAGTAATTGATAAAATCGCATGGTTAATTTTGATCAAAATGGGGAAAAAACCCCCCAAAAAAAACATTAGTGTTGCCTCATTTTGTGTCTGATTTGGTTTAGACAGATGTTTTGAGGTGGCTGTAGCTCAGGTGGTAGAGCAGGTCAGCTACTAATCAGAAGCTTGGCGGGTTGGTCCCAAGCTCCTCCAGTGTGCATGCCAAATATCCTTGGGTAAGATACTAACCCCAAGTTGCTCACCGATGCATTCATCGGAGTGTGAATGTGTATGAATGTTAGACAGTAAGCACTAAACCCGGTGGCGCCAGTGTTCGACAGCCTCGACCTCTGTCAGTGCGCCCCAGGGTGGCTGTGGCTACAATGTAGCTTACCATGTGTGTGAATGTGTGTGTGAATGGGTGGATGACTGGATATGTAAAGCGCTTTGGGGTCCTTAGGGACTAGTAAAGTGCTATATAAATACAGGCCATTTAAACAGTTTAGAAAAAAGTGATTGGGTGAATGAATTGTTCTATAAAGGCAGCTTTGAGTGCTCCGAGTAGAAAAACGCTATATAAGAACCAGTCTATTTACCATGTGGCCTTTTGGACTCTTCCAAACTAAGTATTCCTTTTTCAAACTGCTGCCTAAAAGTTAAATATTGTCATTATGGATTCCCTTTTTTCTTAGGATGACACAATACATACAAGACGAGCATGCATCCTGAAGTCCTTGTGTGTCTACCTGAATGAAGACCATGAGAAACTTGTGAAGGAATATACGGTCAGTTATATTCACAAGTTGTTCTGTGTTATGTAATTTGCTCCAGGAGTTATGGGTAATTTCGATATATGAAATGATAAAATGTGACACCATGTGTGAATAAAAGATATTGCAATTGGTCCTTGTTTTGTTTCATGTCAAATTTCTGAGGTGTGAAACCAGAGACATAGAATTTAGTAAATATATCAGCATATTCACGCTGATTGCTGAATTCCTTTTTTTTTTTTCATATGTAGACTCAAACAAATGTATTATTATATTTTACGTCACAGAACACTGAGGCCAACACTGAAGCCATGGAACAAACTGTGATGGGAGTGTATGTCATACATCAGGAGGGTGCGGAGCCTGGAGATGACCCAGAGAACATCGGTGTCCTGATTGAAGGCGTGGAGGTTCTCACTGGTTTGAGGAGCATTGCAATTGCTTGTGCTCTGTTATTTGGACTGATATACTGTCTGAACCTAAGCTACCCACCGGAGCTCAAATGCACTTTTGAAGTCTTGCAAAAGATTATCATGAAGCTGGATGGACAGAGGTTGTCATCCAAGGCACAGTTCCTAAAAAACAAGCTAATGGGGTGAATGAGCTTGAAACGGACTCATGCAAGCCAGATATTTTTTTTTTTTCTCAAGGTTTCTGCAATGCAAATATGTGTTTACTGTTTTAAAGTTTAAAATTGTAAGTTATAAAATGTTCATATAAACTATGTGGTTTGCTCTGTGGCTATTACACAAAGATTGTTCGTCCATAACTTAAAGTCTTATACACTTGAAGTGTAAACACTGATTTTTGCCAGATGGCAATTGTTACAAAGGCAAATGCACACTGGTTTTCACAAATTGTTTGAGTGGAGCAGTTATGCTCAAAATTGAATGTTTTCTCCACACGTTAAATAGCATAAAGTCACTATTAATGGATACAGCCTGATTAAATGGAGGACTAATGTATGCAAGCAACATAGTAATGTTGTAATATTATAGTAATGTTGAATGTTATGTCTGAGCTTTAAATTGTGTTAAAATTCATATTGTTGTTTGCAATGCATATTTTACTACATTTTACGAAAGTTGCTTTGGGGATAATATTTTTTGTCTGCAAACTATTCAACAGACTTATTTCATTTTTATTATTAGGGTTAGGGTTATTTTATTGTATTTTTTCTTTCAGTCAGCATGTCTTGATCTGGAAGTTCTGTGGTCTTGGTATGAGATCATTAAAGGGGAGAAAGCTAGGCTGAACTGGGATCCTGCCAACTGTTTTAAGAATGTTCAAGCAAAATAAAAGATGGTTTTGCAAGTTATCATTTATGTATGTTTCATTAATTTAATTAAAAGTAATGTTTACATAAGCAATACAAACACTAACTGAAACATGATTGGTGTAAGTACTACAGACATAAATTACATTTGTTCATTCAACAAGATTAACATTGGTGAAACAAACAAATATTTTACTAGTTCATGTAACAAGACTGACTTTTGATGTGCCAAAGTGTTTAAACAATATAACATGAATTTAAATTAATTTAATTAGACTAACTTGGTACAAACATGTTAACTGAATAAAAATCAAATTAACTGAATGTTAATGTTTAAATTATGTTACACTTACAAACATATTTAGTGTTGAAACAACACAATCAAGATGGATTGATTTAACATGATTTGTTTAGATGGAATATAGGTGGCAAGATGAAATTAAGTTCATCCAATGAATTATTTTTTTGAGTGCACCAACAAGATTAAAATGCTTCTTAACTTTGCTTGAATTTCTCAGGCATTGTTTGCTGCTTATGTCTGCTTTCCCCTCAAATTTCATCCATACGTTGAATAAAGAAGAGACATCAACTGAGCATAATCGGTGCTACACAGGCTGCACTACACTGTGTTCTCTGTGCTGTTCATTTGGATCAATTGAATGTACCTGCTATAACCAGTGACTGGAAACAAGTCTGGGTGGATAAAATTATTGCATAGAAGCAGAGGGGCTTCAATTTGCTCTTAAAATGTTATGGTGAAGCAAGAGGAGTCCTTTGGTGTAAAACGGAGTGCAAGGCGAATGGCTGACAGACTTTCAGGCATTACCTGAAGCCACGAAAAAGTGGCTTTATTAAAAATGAGTTATTTTTGCTATTACATTGTTCTAATACATACTTGATAGGACAAAGCAAATTGCTGCCTTTTTGTTCATAGAAAGCTTGTTTTAATAACATAGTTATAACATAGTTATGCATTAATATAGTTTTTCAAAAAAAGCCATGACCATAAAGGATTAGTAGCAAAGTAGTAGAATTTCACCTGTTAAAACCAAAAAGACATATCTATTTAGAATTTGGTCTCCCAGTAGTTTTCTTCCGACATCTTGTACTTGAGCATTTGCACAGGACCCCTGACTACCTCTCCTCTCTCTTCATCGACCTGACTATGCAACTTAAATTTCAATTTGTCGAAGAGAAACAAATCCGGTGGTCCTCCTTGGGCTCTCGTACTCTGGGGCCTCTGGATGTCTGGGGCCTGGATCTCCTCCATGCCTGCTTCATGCCCTGGGGGACAGGGCTATGGCTTTCTACATCCTCTTGCAGACCATTACATGTGGAAACCATTTGAATACAAGCGCGCTGATCCACACAGGTATGCACACGGGTGTTCACTGTTCGTAGACTTAAATTACACTTTTCTTGGCTGCTACTTCAAAGCACATTGTGCGCTGTCTGTCCTGCGTGCTGCACAACAGCATTGAATATTTAGTATTTACTGCTGTTTACACTTAGCTAGATTAATGCGATGGTGTTGTGTTTAGTATGTTGCTTTGGTTTTTTTTTTGCTTGTTTTCTATTCTTTCTCTCTCAACAGGTGATCCAGGAGATTTTTTTCCCTTTCTCACTGTCCCTCTCCCCTTCTGTTTTTCTTTTCCTTCCTCTTTCTTTCTCCCTTTCCTATCCCTCACTCATGCCTGTTCCATCTGTAACAACTGAAAATAAAATAAAATAAAAAGGTCGATCAAATGGACCAATACGGCAATGCCATGATGATCCATTTGGCAAAATCCATTGGGTATCCTTGTTGGTCTTCAGACAACAATTCTGACGGCTAAAGAACCAAATGGGACAGGCAAAAAAGGAAAAGAAAAAAAAATTTGTCGAAGAGAACAAATTGTGATGTGAGTGAGTCTTCCTCCTGGGAGTGAGTCTTCCTCCTTGTGTAGAGCTGCACAAGGAGATGACCTTGAAGGGGAGAGCTGCCAAATTTAAAACACATATAACATTTTAAGGGAGAGATCGTATATATCTTTCTGATAGTACCTGATACATACAATCTTAATATTGCAATGAACCACTGATTGAGATGAGGCTGTCAACACTACATTTTATTTTAAAATACTTTTTGGAGACTATTACCAATAGCTGCACTTTGTGCTTGTTCCGACATGTACCTGATCATGATCCTCTAGGCTCCATCGAAAATATGACTGTTTCTGGGGAAAAACTAAAGTGGAGGCAATGGAGACATTGTTATAGAGCCACAATACCCCATGTCTTTCATACATGTACAATGTTTGCCCCTCCACGCTGATGATCAGAGTACAAGAGTGATCTCCCTATTTGTTTGAAATCCACATTCCCTGACACAATATGAAATTCTCTTGCTGGGTAATAGCCCTATTATTTGCTGAATATTGCATTAAACTACTTTAGTTGCCATTGTGTTGTGTGCCTGGGAGAGCGCATGAGCTCCACTACATGAATGGGTGTTTTCGTGCCGTTCTGATGAAGTGTTTATGTGTTTAACAAGTGTTTACTTCAGGCAGAGATATCCTCTAGGAGCTATAGGTAATGTGCTGGTAATCTCAGCAGCAAAAATAAATAGTGTAATGATGATAAGATTAGCTGTAGCCCTGTGTTTGCTGACTGGCTAAAGAGAAGGAAGGGTAGCATCTGGAAAGAGTAATGGAAGAATCCCACTATCAGCTGTACTTGCAAAGATAAATGTGTTGTAGGTAGCTTTGTATATATATTACAAATTAAAGGGAGCAAATGCATGAAGTTGACCTTTCAGTGGATTATGATCACATTATATTCAATATTTTGCTATGAGTGTCATGGGTTTAAGGAGTAATGCAATGAGATGAATTTTGTGGAAATGTTATTAAGAGTAAATACAAAGTCGGGGTCTATAATAAGCTGCAAACTTAGAGATTTGCATAAAGAGTTGTAAACATCTGAATGATAAAGCAAGTCGCAGTCGCTTATAACTGTTAAGGAATATTAGAAAAAACGATGATTACATGATGACTTTTTAGTTTTTGTCAGTACTGCATGAAAATGTTCATTCAAATTCAAGACATGCACATTTAGGTGAATATGTCCTTACCCTCCGTTGGTTAGTCGTGATTATTCTTCACCACAGTTTGACAATAGTCTTGTCACAGGACTACGGAGAACAACAAGAAGGAATAAAACACAAAAATTAAAAATCACAGTTTTTACAATTCAGCAGTTAAGTCTTTCATAACTGCTGCCTTCTACTGAATGGGAAAGTTAAACCTCTCTTTGAAGTTAAAGGAGGAATCCTCAGATGTACACGCTACACACTGCCACACTATATCACATTTATGGGTTCATTTGCAGTATCAAATAAGTAGGCCGGGGGAGAAGATAACCTCCAAAATACTACGACAAGCAATTTTTTTTTTTTGTGTTAATCTGCCAAAAGTCTACATACAGTGCAATGCATTTTTTTCTTTATCAGTTTACTGTGTCTACAGTCATTGCACAAACTGATTTGTAAACACATCTCAAACCACACAGTTCTTTCGATTCTTCATGCATTGGTGTTCTCTGTCTCTCTCTCCTCCTCTCTCACATACACACACACACACATAAAAACACACAGGCATACAATTCACACCATTCAAAGACACAAGGGATGGTCACCTTCCTGCTCAGTGGGATGCTTTCTGCACCTGAGAAAACAATGCTGAAATATTGGCATTCAGAGAGCAGAAAGAAGCCAAAGGCCAGGGAGAGGGCACCTAACCAGAGAGATAGAAATGAAATGATTTCTTGGAGTACAGACAGCAGGGGTAAAAAAAAAAAATGTAAGTGTGAATAATTGATGAAATGTTTTTGCTTTCATGGTCATCCATTTGAGAGCAAAGGAGAATTCCCACAATTATTGCATAAAGATATTAATGCAACCAAAGAAATCAATACATATGATGCACATATTACGGCACATATCGTATCTGATAATGCACGTTCATATTCAGTGGCACAAATACTCACTTTACACATCTCTTTTAAAGACTATCTGAACATTTTTACTAGGCTTCTTATATCGCAAAAAGAATGAAAATCTAAAAGAATAAAAATACCTATAGGCCACATGATATAAATTTACAGATAAATTTGCAACTTAGCAAGTCCTTTCCTATCGCATTAATTTTACCTCTCTCTGTCTCCTCATTGAGACTGCACTTCTCCATGACGGGTGATAGCAGACTGTGAGGCCTGGTTACTAGTTGCTGCTGGTACTACTGTTGACGGTGCAGTAGCTGCAGCAGCCCAGACAGCTAACATGTT